TAAGCTTACTTCGATGGCACTTTTTAAATACTGGTACAATAACCAGGACAACTACGTTAGATGGGCAGGCTCGTTATCGAGCATGTATAGATTGGAGTGTGGTGTGAGACCAGGTGGATTAAGCTCACCTAGTCTATTCAACCTGTATATGAATCGATTAATTGACGAGCTTAGCAATACCAAGGTCGGATGCTTGATAAATGGAATTTCGGTGAACAACGTCAGTTATGCAGATGACATGGTGTTGCTGAGCCCTTCAATTAGCACTCTTCGACTGCTGACTGCGAGTCGTCCATCGATTGCGGTATAACAAACCACGCTCGTGAATGCCTTACCGTATCACTGGTGGATACTGCTATTAGCGACCACAACGCACAGCGATATGAATTTGCAATTGAACACGGAGGAAAGGAAAACAAATCAGCAGCTGATCGAACGTCGTTGTTTTACAAACGAATCTATCTATTTATTTTATTGTGACATTTGTAACTATGATTTTAATTTTATTTATGTCAACACTAGATATTAAAAGTAAATTTGATAAATTATTTAACATTTTGATATATTACATTGACAATTGATAAAACATTTCAATTTCGGAATAATGTGACAACTACGCCATGTTTAAATGACGAGTTATTGAAATATACACGTAAACACAGGGATTTACACGAGATCAGGCGTCAGTATCCAAACAACCCAGTAATATCAGAGTGTATCATGATATATTATAATCTTATTAAATCTGAGACGTTACGTGACCGGCAAACCAACATTGAAAAGAGGTTGGTTATATATATTTATACATATTTCCTTGGACGGATTTTTGCTATCTAAAATCCATCCAAAGAAATATGGAATGTAGTCAATGACGAAATAGGCATAAAAACCAGATCATCAAACATCAGCCTCAAAGATTTATCGTCTCAAATTGATACACCAATAAATACGGTTCCAGACACATTTAATTCACACTTTCTAAGTGTAGCCTCCAAATATATAATTGAAAGTGATCTATGTGTATGCAATACATCTGCACAATACAGATGTGCCAACTTTCTCTCCACCGACCATCACACGGGGCCTTATAGATAAAGTGGTACAGTCGATGTTAGACCCGTTCAACTGTTGACAAATATGACATATCACTAAATATATTGTTATACATATGGCCATTTATCTCAGACCTTTTTGTAGTCCTATTTAAAATTATCTTTGACACCGGTGCGCACCCGGATGTGCTTACGTACCAGGGTGTGTCCTGTCTTCAAGGGGAAGGGTGACAAGTGTGATGTGAACAATTACAGACCAATAACGATTGGTCCTACTATATCTAAAATTTTGGAATCTATCCTATCTTCCCACATAACCACCTTGGAGTCCAATGAATTGCTGAAGGATAAGCAATTTGCATATCGGCAGAAGATGTCTACAATTAATGCGGCACATAAAATATTTGACTGCTGAGTTTCCGGTCTGGAGAAGTATAAAATAGCGGGCATATTTTGTGACTAGTCCAAGACCTTTGATGTGATTAATCATGAACTGTTCTTGGATAAGTTATATCATTATGGAATACGGGGTAAGAGTCACAAATTTCTCACCTCGTTCTTATCGGATCGGAAGCAAGTGGTAAAATTATCCTCTAACGGTAAAAGACTGAAGTCCGTTCCTGGTAGTGTGAACTTAGGAATTCCTCAAGGGTCTGCTTAGGAAACGCGCTATTTCTATCATATATAAATGACCTTTCCACTGCCACCACTGCCGGCCTCTCCGTACTGTTTGCAGATGACACAACAGTTTTAGTTAACGCGCGTACGTACCAACAGCCGGGAGTGGGAATCGATGAAGGGTGTGAGCAGCTCCAGAGGTGGATTTTTTCATCGAATGGGTTGCTGCTGAATATCACTAAATCCAACATCATGGTTTTCTCGGGTCGAGATCTCACAGTTACTCCGTGTGTAGCAAGCAATACGATGCCGATATGCAATGAGAGTAGGTTCCTTGGCTTCACTCTGGACTCGAACCTTAACTGGAAGTGCCATGTTGACAGAATGTGGATAGACTGAGTGGTGCAGTCTTTGCGTTGCGTAAACTGAAATTGCTCATTTCTGATTCTGCATTAAGACAGGTCTATTTTGCACATTTCCACTCGCTGATGTCATCCACTCATATGGGGTAACCCCACGGATGCCAATAAAGTTATGCTAATGCAAAAACGGGCCGTTCGTGTATTGGTTGGGGTAAAACACTGACTTTCGTGCAGAAATTTCTTTGTAGCGCAACGCATAATGACGCACTGCTACTCTCTCTACATATACGAAATTATAATGTACGTTAGAAATAATCTTTCTTCATTTGGTACTGCAAATGTTTCTGGCATCCCACTTCGCCGTACCCGATATTTGAGAACAGTCCCCCGACGCATGGCACTTGCAGAGAAAAACCCGCGTGTCATCGGACCTACTTACTATGAGCGTTTACCCGCTACTCTCAGACTTGAACCGTCTGACGAAACATTTGGGCGCAGGCTGAAAGACCTTTTCTTGAAAAATCCATTACACTCTGTAAATGAAATTATGGACTTAAAATTGTAACGAATTGAGTGTTTTCTATTTTTATTTTTACCGCATTAACATACTCTTGTATAATAGTTATCAACTTATGACGATATGTAATTTAATCACAACAATATTATATAATGAATTGTTAATTTTCTGTTTATTGTATATTTTCTTATAAATTTTATTTTTGTCTGACGATCTCAATATAATTTCTTATACTTTGACATGTAGTGCAATTTATACTGTAATGTTATATTTGAAAAATAAATTAATCTGAATCTGAGTCGTAGATTAATAAGTATTTGTACTAAATATGCAGAAACTCATGGATACGGTACAACGCGACTAAGAGCGAACTAATGGTTTTTAAAGCGGGTAACCAAACCGGGAATAATGTTCAGATGTTATACTAGGTGGCACTCCACTTAAACGAGTCACTGAATTTAAATATCTGGGGCACCGTGTCTCGAATCTTTAAAAGACGATTTAGAGTTAGAAAGGGAGCGTAGGGCGCTGGCAATAGAGGCAACATGTTGGCCCGTAGGTTCACCAGGTGTAGTGGTGATGTAAAGATTGTCCTATTCAAGGCATATAGCCAGTCTTTTTATACCGGCAGCCTCTGGGTCAACTATACCTTAAAATATCTTAGCGCCCTACGAATTTCGTACAATAACATATTCAGGTTGTTGGTTGAAGCTGCCACGATTTTGCAGTGCATCGGGTATGTTCGCCGTAGCTAAGGTCGATAAAGTCGATGGCTTTGCAGCTATCATGCGAAAAAGAGCGTTTTCCCTGGTGCATAGAGGTCGTGGCAACGACAACAGCATCCCGAGTATAATTGCAAACAGGGTTCAGGGTTCTTTTAATGAGCACTGGTCCCGGTCGCATTAGTCTTAGAAAAAATTGTTATTTATAGTACTAATTCTATTTAAAAGTGCTTTGTTGCTAACCTCTATGGATGAATATTCCGAAACAAAGAAATTTTAATTTGACCGTTCTTCAAATCTAGAAAAATAAAGCATCCAGCTTAGATCTGACTGCACTCAGGTCCCAATAAAATAAGGCACGAGACTTATTCTAGAATTCTGCCAACCAGAACAGAGTGATACTGTGGTTCTTGAGAATTAACGGGGTCGTTAGAATAGGATTATGTGCACAGACATATTATTAGTCCTCGTGCTGCTACCAGTAGAAGTATAAGGAAACAGCAAGTATGATAAGACTTACCAGCCAGCTAAATTATTACATTATTCTACTAGTTCTGTTGTTTACTGATTTGCAGCTAAAACCGACAGAACCGTTAACTATAAACCACAGATGTTTTATACGACTTTTCTCAAAAACGACCAATGTTTAGCAACTTCTTTTTGGTTTTAAGATATATATTCTCTGTACGTACAAAATATGATAGAATGGCACTGGTTTGCGATTACAGCCGACAAAATCGTAACTTAGTAGTCGTCAAATATTCGTAACACAAACACATTAGTTTTATATTTCTCTCTAAAAACTACCAATGATTTCAACATCTTTTTTACATAATTCACATTTTCATTTCGTTTACATAATTTTTATGTGAACTGAATTTGTACTCTGTACCTAAACTTATCGGTTTTGTATGTATACGGTTCACAATAAGAACAAAATTAACAAACACCAATGAATTTTATACATTTATTTATTACAAATTAATCCTAAATGTCAGTATCAACATATTCTAAACGTATGGAACTCCATACTAACTCTAAAACCTATACCTAACAATAATATTAAGGTTCCTATTGCACTAAAATCAATAGGAAAAGTAATATAAAGAAAAGCTATGTTACACGATGGAATGTCAGCTTTTTTTCTACGATGAATTCGCATTCCGAATCTTTTCAATATGTTGATTCCTTGAATCTGAACGCACACTTGCTAGCAGCAGACGTTAAGGACGTCTGTAGGCTGCCGAAGCCTCAAGATTTAGGTTACAATAAGTTATTTATACATAAGTTACGTGCACAAGTATCATGGGTTTCGATACCACAATTGAAAAATAATCATGTAATGAATCTTGGTGATAATGAGTAGGTGTATTTGCATGTACTGGACTTGCGTATCGCCTACATCAAAGGTTTTCAATCCAAGATTTTCATCAAAGGTTCTAACTGATTGTCAGTGCAAAATCAAAAAATATTGAAAGTCCATGCATGCTGATAAATGCGCGTTCACCTTTTTTATACTTTCTATAACACTTAACACACAACCTCTAACATTTACGAGACGTGTACCAAACCGCAAGCTGACTTGACGTGAAAGCAAAAAAGAATACCTATACCGCAATCTCTCCAATTCATCTAATTTTCTTTGTTACAATCGCAAACTTGATTTGGGTAATGCATAATGATTAATTATATGACTTTTACAACACTGTTATTCAAACTAAAGACTATACAGGTGTCAATAAAATCTTTAGAAGAATCATAATCAATCAAGAATCATTCTTACACATCTACAAAGTGTGTTTCAACTCGTAGCAAAAAACGGTACGCTCACTCGTACGATGTTACATTTGCTGATGTATTGAATGCGAATAAACTACTCGTAGTGTGAGATATTTATAACACATCAGCGGATAAAGAGCGTCGTCCATCGTCTAAAGATTTCATGAACGTGCTGTAGACATAACTCTAACATCTAATGCCTGGCGTCGCGGCGATGGTCGCGCTCGCGGTCGCGCTCCGCAGGCGGCGGGTCGCGGTCGCGCCTCTCGCGGTACCGCTCGTCGTAGTAGGGTGCGGCGCTGGCGCGGCTCTTCGCGCCACTCGCGTCGCCCGCGCCGGTCTCTGCCGTCGCCTCCACGGGCGACTTGCGAGATCTGGAAGACGCGGTTCTGTTCAAATGATTATAAATGTAGTATTTGCATGCTGTAAGTATTCAAATTTATTTTTTCGACTTGAGCTGTCGTGTTTCGTAATTATTAAGTAAATGATGGTGTTGCTACCATTATCACCTAACGCCATACGCATGATGTAACGGTTATTCACATATTTTCGCATAGATATAAGCACTAGCTTACACTAGTAAGAGCCTGTATATGAAAGTGGTGAAGAAACACCGGGACAAGATAGTTTATCAGAGGAGGTCATGTTGCTAGATTTTTATTCCAGATGACAGAATGATAACACCTAATTAATAATTAAACCAACATTTTCATTGTAACAAAATTCGAAAACTGTTTTTTTAGTACGGTCTACTACGGACTACGTATCTTAATCACCTTTCATCCCGACTGTGTCCTCTGTTGTACTCGGCACGTTCGCGATCGCGAGACCTGGACCGATCCCTTTCACGTTCACGGTAGTCCCTGTAATATCTGTAACAATAAAAGTTAATTTATTCTACAACACCAGTTGGATTCTACTACATTTATATATCTTTAAAACTACCAAACAGATTTGTCTATGCACGCGTACACGCGTATCTATCTGATCAACATACCTAACGATCGCATAACTTTTTATATGCAGCATCGCTTAATTTTTCAGGGCGACATATTTTCGGTTTAGCGCTCCTGAGAGTAGCTCTATCAAATATTTATATATAAAAAGGCGGATCTATTTTGTAAAGTGAGTACTGTTAAGAAAGTCACCACGGTTATTAACGCGGAATCGGCTTGAACCTGAACCGGTCAGTAAAAAAGTTATGTCCGTGCAATTAGAGCGAAAAAGACGTTCCCCGTTTCGCTTTCACTTGGACCGTCCCGGCGTGAAACGCACGTCTTTTTCGCTTTTCGACAGTTATTGATGAGAGCGGCGACTTGTCTGTGTCAACCCGCCAGTCTCTTAGTTGGGTACACACATTACATAACTACCCTGAACTTAATGTTCTCACACATAAAAGACTACGTAGTGCCCACAGATCTACGCAAGCAAGGGAAAAATCTGCGTGACAGAAAAGGGAGTTCTTGTACACATGACGCGAACTAGGGTCAACAACGAGTATTGTGTCCACTTACAGCAAAGAACAACATCGAAATATGAAAAGAGAAGAGGCAGTCTAAAATGAAAGTTTCGTTTAATATTCAACAACTCTCAAAAAAGTTTACTGTGCTGATAGTCGCGACCGTGTTAAATATTTTACAAATTTTTTATGGCAAATTGCCTATAGGATTAAACTTTTCTGTACGAATATTTGTGGTTGTCTATGTGTGTGTCCAAGGCACCCGCGACACATGATTTTCCTAATACGGGGCTACGAGTGTCTGCGGTATTTATTATTTATTTTACCGCTATTGCTAGCGACTAACGACACTGTTAACTCATAATCAGGGTACTGGTTGGAATTCGTGCCCTAGAGTTAGCGCAAACCGAAAGTTAGTGTAAAGCTGCAAAATTTCTCCACTGATAAAACCTAATTAAAATTTTAATATTGAAAAATGTGTTTTTCAAACGTTATCAAACGTTATGGCACATGTTAAAGTTTAATGATTAAGCTTGACGTGCTCATGTCTGTATTCAAAACTATCAGCGGAAAAATAAGCACCTGTATGCTCAAAGTGTACCAATCCTAAAGACGAATACCCTTAGGAAGAATGGTGTAATGTAATGTAATGAATATGGGATGTTTTGTGGAGTAGAAGGAAGAGAAAGCAAACAAACAGAAAGCGTTTACTTTAGAGTGGACACTTACGCATCACGGTCACGTTCACGGTCCCGCTCCCTTGACCTTTCCCTGTATCTGTAATATTACGGTAACTTTTAAAACCAATATCACTATCTATTCTCTTGACTTTATTTTAAATTTAGATAAAGAACTGATAGAAATTCGAAGGGTTACATCATGCAGTGTTTCAGACTAATTTATTGGTTTCGTATGACATTCGTAAAGCGCGTTAATGTTTACCATTGAATTGTTGCTGTTGATGCTTTATGTTAATAGGAGAATGGTGCCGTCAACTAAAGGCCGTATTCAAAGCGGGGGATGAAGTCACAAAGACTTTGTACATTTCAACAATAGGACGTGGTTTCCTTAACGTTATCTATGATCGTCACAAGGGTCCGACAGCCGCCATCCACGCTATGTAATGACCGTCAATATGGCCGCTAAGAGACGCCACCGCTCTCCTAAGAAATCAAAGCCCACCTTTCAGCAAGCCTGAGCATTGACACTACATCCCGTTTCATATGGGGTATCGTCTTTCCCGTAGATATTGAAGCGTGTGTTTTAAGATATATTTCGTATAAACATTGTCCTGATGCTAGCACTCGATCCCACAAGCGACGTCATCGGTACAACTTTTTATAAATACTGCAATGCCCTCTCGCGAGCTTACGCTTAAACTGCAAGGGTCCTTAAGGTGTTTTTTGAAACGCATGGAAGGAGATGCGTTCGAGTGTTACTGTTGTATTTATTGCATTCTCTTCTAATAACTCACGCCGTCCATTAAAGGATATTAAGCGTGACTCTAACATTAACTCTAATCCATGGGATCATGCAAAAACTGCTGACACGGACGATAATGGAAGCAATAAGAAGGAATTGAACATTAATGCAAATATAGAATGCGGATGGGACGTGTACGGCTGCGTGAGATTAATGGTCGAAACACAAAACTGGGAATCGGCGCGATGCGAATTTGCAACGCAGAAAAATTTCGTGCGGCAAGGCATCTTACCACCACGGTTCGGATAACCATTTTAAACTAGGTAGCGACATGGATCGTAAAAAGAATGTTGCACTGCTGTTATTGATAAGAAAGTATAGGAAAAAACACAAAGATTAACATAGCGGGAATGCGCGATGCGCACCAATTCGCAAATTCTAGCGATGCGTCATGCGAGCTCGTAGATTTCTGCAATACGACCTCGCATCGCAGTTTTGTGTGTCAACCCTAAGGGCGCTCCTATACGCATGAACATAACATTTCATAAGATCATCATTTTCAGTAACAGTAATTGTACGAGTAATATACCACAAAGCCCCCAATATCGACTACGAGTAGTTTACATACGTCTCTCGGATCGGCAACATAAAGCTATACTGTAAGTGAACTTGTGCAAGTTAAGTACGCCATTATATGCGTGTGCCTGTAAGTGTAATTCGTAAAGGAAAACAGTACACATTGCACGCAGCTTACCCGGCCACCATATTTTCTAGACAGCACGCAGAAACAATAATACATACACAAACGTGTATTTGTCTTACATAGTTTACCTCGCGGTGATACTCGATCGTTTAGACGGGCGTTAAGTAGTTAATGGTGACTCACCGGTCGCGATCTTCGCGGTCGCGGCTGCGGTCGCGGTAGCGCGACGCGGAGCGCTCACGACGGCGCGGCGCGCGGTGGTGTGCACGCGTATCGCGGTCTCGTGATCGCGAACGGCGCGAACGATCGCCGCTGTTGTACGACTTCGTCTCCACGCCGTGCAGCGTGTCTTGTAACGACGAGATAAGGATCTTGCAGCGTTCGTCATGGGCCACCTGTTTTTATTGTATATTAATAAGTCATTTTTGTAAAACTTAAAAAAACCGACTTTAAGTTAACCGGCAACGGAGCCTGGCATGTGCTCTTCTTAGAAAGTTAAGATTTATTTGTATAACTGAATGGAATTCTTTTTTTTATAGTTGGTTTTTTTTTCTATATACCTACGCCTTGGAGGTATTTTTTTATATAATAACGCACACACTCAAAATACTAGGAAACCCTGTGTCGCGGGTGCCATGGACACACACATAGACAACCACAAATTACACCCAAACTCACGAGAGAAATAAATGTAGGCTATACAAATATTTCTCCCGGCCCGGGAATCGAACCTGGGACCTCTGCGTGGCAGTACGGCATGGCAACCGTTCGGCCACGGAGGCAGTTAACTGTGTACTGTGTTCTGGTTTTGAAGGATAAGGCTGCTGGTGATATTACAGGCACATGGGACTTGTAATCTTATGTCTCAGGGTGACGGCCGCAGTGGTAGTGCCCCTAAGATCTTTGCAATTTAAAGATGAGAGGCACGAGTGATGTTATTAAAAAAATGTAACAAGAGGTCTTGCCTTGCTCTGTTTGATGAGAGAGATGGCGGTGACGAGCGTCTCGATGGCAGAGGCGTATTCGCCGGCGGCCGCGTCGCTCACGGCGCGGGCGATCGCGCTCGACGACACAGTGCGGTTGCGGCTCATCACCTACGTAACAGAAACGTATATTTTATTCATATGAACATGCAGTTTTGATTAATTGGACAAACATATATCTATGTTTATTTATACAGAGTGTAACCGACAGGTGCAGTGGAAATTCAAGGTCGTAGAGTTACTGTCAAATAGTAAATTGGCATTGATTTTTGTAGAAAATTATGACTATTACAATTGAATATCAATTCAACAAAAATTTTAAATTATGTATAATTAATTTCATTTTAAAAAAATTACGTCGATATCGGTATTAAAATCATGCTCTAACATGACTAACCTCACCCAACCACTTACTTTGTAGTTAGTCGAAAATGGCCGGAAAATTTAACGTTCAATTTGTTTTTATTTAAAAACGGTAGAGTATTTTAAAGTTAGAAACATTTTTATACAATAAGATTCAATACCTAAAATTTTGTTTTTGATCAATAAAAATAAAACGGATATTAACGCTATCTGTCATTCTGTCATTGATATCCTGTGTTGTTCTTTCACATTTTGTATTCAATAATTTCGGAATAACCATAGTAATGGCATTTCTAAGTAATTCAGAATATTATGAAATGATGCTGTGCGTCGGAGCAGCAGACGGAAGTTTAGACCAAGCCCGTGAGAGATTTATGGATAGTACACCAAAAGCTGAACGCTGTCAACTTCCTTCGAGAGCCTGCTTTCGGAATATGGTTTTGAGGCTTCATACTACTGGCACATTCCAGGGTGATAGGCCAGAAGGTCGCCCAAGTGTTGGTGATGACATAGAAGAGATCGTTTCGAAAATAATCGGTGGACCAACACTTGCCGAACAGCTGCAAATCTTGGGATTACAAACCATATGCATGCAAAACAAAGAAAAAGCTATGCAGGTCTTTCATAAAGTATACTTTTGTGATTACTCTGAATTTTTATTTTTGTCTTTGTGAATCTTTATTTTATTTATGGAAATGTTAACTGTAAATACTAAAAAGATATTTAGTGAGGAGCGACATTATAAAGGGTTATGTATACTCTGATCGTGTGATCGGTTGGTAGCGAAATATCTACCTTATAACCTAAATAACCTTCAATTTGTGCACTTTGATCACAATGTCAGTTGTACCTGCCCAATCGCTGTACGATTTATCGCAACCGATCGCGCGATTCGATTGAACTGAAAAAATATTTCAAATAGTTTCCCAACAGATCACAATATTTTTTAGTTTCATTATTTGTAAATTATTCCAATGCAAAGAAATGAAAACTTATTGAAAAATAATGTGATTTGTTGGGATTTCAGTCCATAGTCTTTTCAGTTGAACCGCATCGCGCGATTAGTTGCGACAAATCGTACAGCAATTAACCAGGTGAAACTGATATCGTGATCAAAGTATATATACACATTGAAGGTCATATCAGTTTCCACTACCAACCGATTACGCATACATATACATACCCCTACTTTGTAGGTACCTAATAACAGCAGCGTTGTTATAAACTAAGAAAATCATAATCAATGAAACATTATTGAGTTAGGCCGATGATACTCTTTTTTTGAGACAGTGAGGTTTTGATTAAGATTTGTTTTCTAGTGTAAGTACAAACTTTTTTGTTACAAAACCATAATCAATAGGATAATAAAGTAAAATTGTGACAATGACATTGTCAAATTATTGCAAAATAAACACATTAAATGTCTGTAAATTTAAAAGAATTAATTTTAGCACTGAATTTTATAATTCTACAAATTTTAAGTACGAATAAAATAAAATAATAACTAGTGCTATGTAAATAACAATCCAAAACCACTCCTGGCACCTTTCACAGTTCATGCTGTTAAACATCGAATGTAACCTGGGCTGCGTTTTACAGTGATTCTACAAAATGAGATAAAAATCTGTTATTTCAGTGTTTTCAATCGTAAAGTGCGCTATAATATTTGTGACATGTGTTCAGAAATACAAATTTAGTAAGTAAATAAATAATAAAACTATTACGTCACGTATTTACGACAACTTCAAAGCAAGTGCTTGTATGAGATTAGGGATGTTCGAGCTCGATTTTAATATCGATGACGACGAATTATCGTAATTTTTTGAAATGAAATTAATTTAAAGAGACAAATATTCAACTAAAATATCAGTGCCAATTTGCTATTTGAAAGTAACTCTCTACGTTCTTGGATTTCCACTGCACCCGTCGGTTACATCCTGTATAGCTCAAAAATAATTAATCGATTTTATAAATTAAGTCAAAGTTAAAGAATCATGTATTTCATAGGTAAAATAAATGTACACTTGAAAACGTTGTATATTAAGCTACTGCTCGTTGGCTAAGCCGACTTCCCTGAAAAGAACGAGCAAGGGTTCCATCCCTAGAGTTCTAGGGATGGAACTCTTTTCAAATAAACTTAAATGCTATGGAATGCACTTTGAATCAAATTTGTGTGGAATCTAGACCCATGTCGTCTTTCCATACATCTTTATCTAACTACTAAAATGTCTTCAATTTCGTAATATTATTTTTTAATTAAAATACTTTTAATGTAAGGTTTAAACCTAGAAAATGATAATTGTATTATATGCTCTGGAATATTGTTGTAAAAACGTTATACAGTTCCCCATAAAAGAATCGTTTACCTTAGTTAAACGAAATCGTGGTACCATGAGTGAGGACTCGGTTTTAAGGTTAATTTTAATTAGAGATGGCTTTATTACCCCATCGATCGAAGAGCGAAGAGGCGTTCTTTTTATACAGTGTCACACGCTTGGAACAAATTTTTGTTCCAGAGACGTGATGTTATTGCAAATAGTGTTTATGTTACCTCCTCGAATTCAGCCTCGGAGATGGCGGCGTGCGGCGGAGGGTGAGGTGCATGCGGCGCGTGCGGCGCGGCATGGTGCGGCGCGCGCTCACCCGCCGGCGGGTAGCTCTGCAACAGGTCCTGCGTCACAATAAACTTATACACCAATTCATCTATTACATCGCACTGTTTTACCCTACATATTGTATTGAAACTAATATCATAAATCTTAATATTTTTGAGCTTTTCCGTTAGTTTATTTAGACAGGTAAAATGTCAGGTAAAAATAAATGTGGTTTATTAACCTGTCGTAACTTCCGTTCTAAAGTAGGCTATCTTTCACCTGTATGGAATATAAAAGCAATATACACACCTGTGGCGGTCTTCCGTAAGGCTGTCTGGCGCCGGGCGGCGGACCTTGAGCAGGCGGAGGGGCTCCGTGTGGCGGATGACCGTATGGGGCGCCGGGGCCTGCACAATATATATCAATATGAAACAGGACTATCAATCAAATCGCGTTCATGAAAGGCCTACCTCATAGCCGCAATATCATATTTAAATTTATTATTTAGTTTTTGTCAGTCTTCTATCGTTGAATAGAATCGAACCAGTCGACGACTTCATCTACTTTGAACGTAAGTAAACGTCTACAGCGGATAAAACCACCGCAGTTGTTAGGGTCGTTTGTTACATTGGTGTTTACTTCCACATAAACAGTGCACAATAGAGTTAACATAAATGAGAGATTACCCGGCGGGCCGGCCTGCGGCGGCGGCTGCACGCCGGGCGCAGGCTGCACGGGCGGTTGCTGGTTGAAGAATGCCGGATTCACATGTGGCGCAGGCGCTCCCGGACCCACTCCTGCGACAATAGAGACGGGACTTCAACTATGACGTTATTACCAACTACTTGCCAGTACGTAAGAAAACTACTTATAGAATCGCTTCAGTGTTTTGACAGACAGGCTGACGTGGCATTAGAATATTACTGACATATTGCCTGGATACATGCCAAAAAAAATTGTAGTAACATACTGTACATAGTAAGGCTGGTTTCAGAGCAGTGCGGATTTATCTGCGGATAGTCCGCGAATCACCGGAGCGGAGTAACATGTGTGGCGTTAAAACATCGTTTTACAGTGACGCGGATTGCTCCGTACGGAACACGCTCCGGGTGAACTCCGCCAGGCCACCCGTGCGTTCATTATTGGCGACTGTCTTCCATGAATAACCGCACTAAATTAAACACTCGATTCAGAGCACTGCGAATTTCGAATTTCGCGACAGTTCGTACGCACAGCTGTGAAACCAGCTTACGACTTTATTTATATAAATCGTATATTGCGTTGTACGTATGCTAACATACAGTACAAGATTTACATTGTGATACGAACTGTATAAATGGTTTTTTTTTTTTCAATTAAATTATTATTCATCTATTCATTCAAAAGGAGACAATATATCAGGAGGTGATTGTACTGATCAAAGTTTTAAAAAAGCTGTTTGTTATCAGGAGTATGATCACCAGCTGAATGATAATTATAAATATTTTTGTTACACAAGGAGTAACAATAGGACGAACTTAAGGTTACTGGCACATGCACAGTTGTTAATGTGATATTCAAGCAACACTCAAAATACATTCAAATAAAAGTAGCATGCAATTACTATTATTGAAAATGTCACTACAAAAAACAGTTCTAAATTCAGTTTTCAAACTCACTCCATAGTTCTCAATAGTTTCTTTTTTGTTTCAAATAGATATATATACATATTGTTTACGATTATTTTTTTATTATTAAGCCCTACAGAATAACAAATAACAAATGCCCACAGTTTAACATAGAATAACGAAAAGGCTGAACAATAACCAGCGTACGTACGACATAGTCTGTTTCTGTTTGTTAATACGGAAAGAAGTGATATATTTTTATTTAGAAATTATAACACAGTGAAGTGCATAATAAATTGTATCATTGTCTCTGATTGGATAATTCTTTAACATCATAAACGTGTAAACATGGTGGTTAACACTTTATCAGATGGATGGGCTGTCGAACATAAAAATAATAAGTGAAATGCTGTTAAAGAATGACAAGTAATACATGAACTCGTGTCAAAAATACTATCAAAGGACAAATTTTTCAATCGAAATGCGTCCCAATGGTACTGATAGGACTTTCAACTAGGGAATTTCACGACATGATTGATTAGTATAGGCGGAATAAACAAAGGATAGTAGCGGAATTGTGGATGTTCACGAAAATTTGTCGTATTTAAAATTCTTCAAAAGAACGAGGGTCATGTGTCACTTGTCAATAATGCGTCAATCCATAGGTAAAGTACCTTATAATGAAACATTAAGCAGAATTAATTATGGCAAATTATTGTGCCGCTCAAAAATTTTAATTAGGTACATTTAACAGGATTGGCACAAAGGTGTTAGTGGTACCGTACTCCCATAGTCGTATAGCATGCCAAGTAGTGTGTGCTGTTCGTACCTGGGTAGCCATTCATACCTGGATGCGGCTGCGGCGGCGCGGGCCCACGAGGGGGGCCGCCGTGTGGGGGCATCTGGTGGTGGGCCGGCGGCATGCCTTGCCCAGGTGGCTAGAACCACAATACATGTTTACTCTTTTATATAGTATAGGAATTTATCAAACACTAAACTTTTTGCAAAATACTGATTGATACCAAATACAGACATAGGTTTATTTATTAACACCTGAGAGTGACGTGTTGTCGACGCCAAGCCGCAGGAAAACAGAAGAAAGTAATCATGAAGTATATGATTTTAAGACTTTCGTGGTTATTCACTAATTACATTGATTATCACTAATTACAGGTTTCATACCACGATATGATTTCCTTTTATTTTCCCGATATTTAGGAACGGTTACGCGCTCCATGGTCACGGCCATCAGCAGACTACAACTTAAAGAACAGACATATCTGTCTACCCTCATACGCTGTCAACGACTACCGTTACGTTACGTAACGTTACCGTTCTCACTAACTTTTTTCCGACAAAACACACTCACTGTATCCACACGCGAAACTGAAGTCAAACTATTTTGGTTTTATTCTTGGAAGCACTCATACACTCAAAAGAAATCATATCGTGGTAAGAAAGCTGTAATTAGTGATAATCGTTCACGAAGTATTCTTTACAATCGTAATACGATAGGCAAGTTTATATTACAGTGCAGCTGCAGTAAAACTGGAACCTTCTGGTCCTTCCTTCGAAGTGCAAAAAGGAATTAACCAAGGTAATCCGCTATCGCCGAAACTATTCACCAACACATTGGAACATATCTTCCAGAAACTTGCGCCACGTCGGAGAGAGAAGAGGTTGGACGTCGGGGAAAGGAGGTTAACCAATCTCCGTTTCGCCGACGACGTCGTCCTGTTTTCCTCACAACCACAACTGAGCTTCATCACATATTAGAAGATCTTAGCAACACAAGCCTTGAAGTTGGACTGAAGATGAACATGTTAAAGACCAAACTGACTAACAGCACAGAAGGTAGAGATAAACGGAGAACGCATTGCATATGCCCATAAATACGTTTATCTGGGCGAATTAGTCTCTTTCCAGACGCGACAAGAGAAGGAGATGGAAAGACGGACCGAAAACGCCTGGAGGAGCTATTTGCCTATGAAACACCTAATGAAGGATGACCTACCGATATCACTTAAGGCTATCTCATGGATATGTGCATACTCCAGTGCTCACCTATGGCTATCAGACTTGGTCTTCGACACGACGTTCACACTCGGGGCCAGCGAGATATGGAGCTCAGTATACTGGGTGTAAAATTAGTCGATTGGGTCAGGAAAACCACGCTGCGCTCACAAGCCCAAATTTTCTGTGTAAATCGGAAGATGGCCAAGTTGAAATGAGACTAGGCTGGTCACGTCTGCCGCATGTCGAACGAATTGTGAACCAGGATAACCAGAGTGGTAGTCCCACAACACACAAAGGAGGCGCGGCAGACCACGTCGGCGATAGCGTGATGGCTTTTTAGGCCTTTGCCCACCAGTGGGACAAAACGGGCTTATAAAAAAAACTTTATAATACATTAGGTATGTATGTATATAAGGACTTACTGCGTGTTGCGGCGGCATCTGATGCGGCATCTGGTGCTGTGGTGGGCCGTATTGAGGCGCGGGCTGCGGCATGTGATGCGGTGGACCGCGAGGTCCCCAATCCGGACGAGGACCAGGCCCTGGCGGACGCTGCATCTGCGGGGGGCCCTGGAACTACAACATATATTGTCGTTAAGCGCACTGCGCTGAACAAACTAGCTGGTTGGTTTCCGTAGTCTGTTAAACACTTTTTATTAACAATCAAAATCAAAATAATCGTTATTTCATAGGTAAGCATTATTACACTTGAAATCGTGACATTGGTTAAACTCTACCGCTCATTCGTAAGGTCGTCCCCTGAGAAAAATGAGCAAGAAACTTTAGGGGTTGCTCTTTGTAAATAACGTTTGTACGCATTCAACATTTACAATATATTTTTTGTTTTGCTTTCAAACATCAGATATCGAGACTACCTCCATGAGCTAAACGGTTTTTTGTCATCCAAATTTGCAGAAGTTGTTAGAATAAACCTTTAGTAAAGTTTTTGTTTCACTATAGTTTTGAACCTCGTGAATGGCAAATTTTGTATATCAACCAGAATCTTGTTATAGAAGCGTATACATTGCCCCTTAAATGAATTTGTCACTTTGTGAACACGACTATCAAGAACAGGTAGTTTATTTGGATTCCTCATATTAATGTTGTCTCTCACTATTTTCCATAAAGAGATTACTATTCCTCTCAACATAAATCACATTTTCATAGATGTACTGTGACGCTAGTGTAAGAATATTAATTTCCTTAAACTTATCTCTCAAAAATACTCTGGGGCCCAGATTGTAAATTGCCCTAACCGCACGATTCTGCAAACAACAAAGATTCTATTGATATCAGTGGCATCACCCCAAAGCAAAATGCCGTATGTCATTAGACTGTGAAAGTAGCTGAAGTAAACCAATCTAGTGGTTTCGACGTCTGAAAGTTTCCGTATTTTTTTAATCGCGTACACTGCAGATCTAAGCCGCTTTGATAACTTACTTGTATGTGGACCCCATTGCAATTTAGCATCTAACGCTATACCTAGAAATACAACCGTATCCACAAGATTCAATTGTTCGTTTCTAACTACAATGTTTGTAACCGTCTCTCTAACATTGGGTATTGTAAATTTCTCACAATTTGTTTTTTTCTCATTACGATGCAGATTATTAACAGCAAACCAATCAACTACTTTAGATATAGTATTGTTCACATCGTCGTAGGAACATAGGTGCCTTTTAATTTTAAATAATAATGAAGTATCATCAGCAAACAATACTATCTCATGTTTTAAACCCTCCATGAGGCTGTCATTAATATAAACTAAAGTCAAATATTATCATACTGATGAAATACAAGATTCGTCTAATCCAAAGTCATAAACCGTTAACTGATCAAACCTTTTTATAATATAACAGGATTTTGGCTTATTTTAAATCCTTCACTCTTCTATATGCGTTTCATGGGGTTACACCAGCTTTTATGCTGATAGCCTCAATTACAAAAACCGTTATTAAATTACAGAGACACCACACACACTCAAATTTTAAAGATAGTTACCTGCATAGGAGGCCTGTGCGGCGGTGGTCCTTGATGCGGCGGTGGTCCCTGGTGCTGCATATGGTGCGGTGGGGGGCCCTGGTGCTGCTGCATATGATGTGGAGGTCCATGTGGAGGACCTGGTGGAGGGCCTCGTAGTTGATGGTGCGGGCCTGGCCCAGGCATCATCATGCGCGGACCGTTCGGACCGGGGCCGTTTGGACCGCCTCCGAAGAAATCTAGTGAACCAAAATCGTAGTCTCCTTTACTACTAAACCCATTCTTTTGTTTCTTCGTGCGAGAAGCATAAGACTCATAAAGAGATATTATTTGTGGCACCCCCTTTGCACTTCTCAGAACTTTAGTTCTATCCTAAGGTTGGCTAAATAAATAGTCACTTAGCAACAAGGCTGCTTCGTTTACATTAGCTTATTCTGTCATACTTAAATTATTGTTCTGCAAGAAGGAATATTGCATTCAAAGATCGTAATTTTTAAATCATATACCCGTTCAAATGGTTGTAGGTTAAGTCATAAAACAGCCATCATTGCTTAGCATACGTACTTTTTACTTTCAGTCAATTGCTTCAAAACTTTGCTATTCAATGCAGATTCTTCGATATTTTATTTAATAAATTTTCAAGCTATTTCTCTATATTTTCCCACCATAATATGTGTTAACATGTGTTATGACACATTGCTTATGAAGACATTACATATATTTTTCTTTTTAAGGAATTCATAGTACCTCCTGGATGCGGGCCAGGCGGGCCACCTGGGTGTGGTCCTCTCATACCAGGATTGTTGGGGCCAGGAGGAGTAGATCTAGTCTTCGACTGACTCTCAAACTGGTTCAATGCCTGTGGAATACGCCTACTTTCAAACATTGCACGGCAGCAAATTACTAAAACTTGTATAAAATAGGCCTATCAAATTAAATACATGCGTAGCAAAATGTCTATTTTTCTACTAATATAACTGATATACTCGCACATTAGTGAATTTTGTCAATTGTGTAATATGCAAACTTGATACGAGCCAAACAGGTAGCGCATCGTCCGGAAAATTCTCGTGCAGGGGGTCTACTCTCGATCTCCGTCCGACATCCGTCCGAAACAATTACTGTCAAATAAGTAATATTCGACAAAATTAAAAGACAAGTATCAAGTATGAAGCTTCATTCGCATCACGCGTCTTTTCATTTGGTCAAGTATTGCTTATTTGGCAGTAATTGTTTCGGACGGATGTCGGACGGAGATCGAGAATAGACCCCAGTTTCGGAAATTCCCGTAGCTACCGTCGCGTATCGTTTGTACGTTGCACAAATGACGCCAAATTCATTAAGCTATGTACAATTTCGTTACAGAAAAATTCGCTTCCATTCCGTTCCGCAATAATGTACACTGAGCTTTAGCCCATGGACGGTAAAGAAAATGAAATATCAGAATATGATAATAACGATTTAATTAAATTTTTGAACTTGTTCTGTTTTTGTTTTTTTTTACAAAATTCGTTTCTTTGTTTTTGATTTCTTTTTCACAAAATTCGGGGACCATTATATTAGTAAATAAATATGGCTGTTTATGGTTGTTTACAAAAATAACAGAAAATGACCAAAAAATAAAATTGGCTTAGCGAGTTCATTGGAGGTATCGATACGGTGTACCCCGTTTCGGTATATTCGCTCAAAAAACAAACTACGGGCTTTACAGTGCGATTTCCAAACGCTTTCTGTGTAATTGCCGCCTACTGCTTCTCCATAGAGAAGTATGAGTACAACGTGCTGTCAAGATCCAATGCTTTACATTGAATCAATGTAAGCACTACGGCACAAAGTATTGACATTATTGTGTGCGGTATTATTTAGAGCGTCCTTGAATAGGTTAAGGTCCGAAAGTAGTTCTAACTTAAAGCAAAATGCTTATGAACTCATTAGTTTCTCTAAACAACATACAGCATCGTGTCTCAAGTACTAGAACTTATCCAATTTACGTTAGCTCTTGTCATTAAGCCATGTTAAGGTTAAGAAAAATTGTCTGCATAGGACGCTGATGTAATAACTACAGAGTCCAAGTCTTCGATAGCCGCCTAAGGTACTAACATAGTAGAATAAGAACAAGTATAATAACTCAGTACAAACGTCGCGGCGCGGCTTGTATGTGTGCGCGCGCCGTGTAGGGACGCACACCAAGGATGCTCTAGTGTTGCACAACACTGGTCGTCTCAACGCACCTTTTATTATTATGCGAATGTGTGCGTCGTACACAGCGCGCGGCAGTTGCGCACACATACAAGACGCGCTGTTATTTTGGAGTTAACCTACTTGTTTTATTCGACTTACCGTAAAATCTATGCGAGTAAAAGGCAAAAAGTCTATTTGTAATAATCTCTTGACAACGTGTTAGTCAAGTACATTATTAAGCCATGGCTCTTTTGTAAGAACTTCCTTGATAACTAGAATGTAGGGAACGAGTACAACTTTAACTAAAGTGTATTTATATCTCAATTCTGAGGTACTGTATTATACCTGTTTAGTAGGCAAAGTCACTACTGGATGTTGACCATGAATCTCCTTCTTGGGCAGCCGATCCATCACCATCCTCAGCGATTGGTCAGAGCCCAGGGAAATAAGGCAGAACCCCTTCGACTGCCCGTTAGACCTATTTTCGAAGAACTTCACATCCTGGAAGTCGTTGACCCCGATGTCAGCTATGGAGTTTGCTATATCTTGATCCGTTGCCCACTGGAAAAAGTCGAACCGACAACTCAACTACAGCTAAGATTAAAATAGAAAATACATACGTGTTCGCCGTCCGAATATTTACATACCTCACTTATGAAATGATCACCGAAATCTGCCGACCTAACTCTAACATAGCGTTGATCTTGTCACCTCACTAGCGAATTCAAACGGAAGCAAAAGTGCATACCTATCAAGGTCACGTTTTAAAATGCGAAAATAACTAAAAAAATACTTTTTACGACATCTACGTGGTCTGGAAAAAGACTAAACCCTAAACGTGCTTCGCGAACGTCATCAAGAAACAGTCTTTCATCCATTCAACCCAATTTCATTTTCACTCTATTTTGTTTAGCTTAAACGGAATTCCTTCTGTATTTTCCGCAGAGAAAACGTCGTCGGGTGAAAAGGAAACAGTTTTCTTTGTTACCAGTTTTTTATTTTCATATAACAGCTTTAGTTATGATAATTTATATGGCGTAGGTTAAAATTAGGCGACGCAGCTGACAACTGCCAAAATAAACTATATTGAACATTGGAGATAAAACAGGAAAATCCTTCTAAACAATGAAGGAAAAGATACAAATTTACAAGGTAACGCTCGCAAAATTTGCTATATTACAGGAAATCCCACAACTAAGGTAAGTAATCCAATTCGAATACATTAACTTCATTTAAAATTAAACCAAGAATATTTTCAAATTCTTTTACAAGGGTCTGTAGATTGAGATTAAATGTACATTATTATTGTGTAAGCCTTTAATTATTTACAAGCACGCAGCTAATTGTTAATAAGAACTATTATTATTATTATTGCCAATAACTTACAAGGGGTATATTATTACAGTTTACTTCTAACGGAGAATATAAAACGAACTCATATTGATATGTACAAATAACGCGCGTCCAACAACCGAAGTGTACGATTCAAAACAGTCATTAAAATTGGAACAATAATATCATATTCTTATGACTGATTTGTAATAACAGTATATTATTTGTAACTGATTTCACAACGATAAATAATATACATTATCTGGAAGTTCACAAAGAAAATCATCCGATATTTTCAAAAATTACAGTGTCAGTTAAGTTGTTACACTTGGTACAAAAGAAATAAAAAAAAATATAGACATTTTCAATCATAAAATAATACACAATGTGACATAACATTTCAATCCAAATAAATATAGATGGACAAAAAAAAAAATAATTTTTTAAACCAAACTAAATATAGATCAGCTACATAAAACAAGCATAAAATTTCTTACCTCGATGAAACCTGACAGGAAAAAATATTAAGTTACAATTTCCACCATACCAGATTTTTGAGTAAGTTCGACGACAATCATGTATTATTTGATTGTCCCAAAAGTCTGATTTGGAAACAAGCATATTGAAAACAGGCAAGTATACTAATCTACTAAACTTTATGCAATGTGTTCACAGAGAATAGGACCCATTGACAGGGTTGACAGCCCCGATGATTAGCATAAAGAATATTACGCGAAATAGATACGTTATCGGCTAAAACCGTGATTCATGACAATGCATTAGGAATAATACGGATTATATAAAGCATAAAACCTCGACCGTGTTATAAATTAAAATGAAATTATACAAAAACATCAAATTTTTTTTGTATCAACAATTTGGTGCAAAACATAAAACTGGAATGTAGTTAACATGTACTCAAGTGAAGATCATAATGTTACATGGAGTCATATATAAATACATACACATATATTCAATCAACCGTCAACATCCAAAGTACACATCACGCATATATATGACCACTTTCATACACAAACATGCTAAAATATCCTAAATCAGGTAAAAGTGGCAATGTTTCACACATTTAACACATCTTAGATAGAATGAAGGAGATATTTACAAGTAAAATGTTCTGGTTCGTACCATTTGTAAACTAACCACATTTACAAGTTTTTAAAACTAAATCTGCATACATAATTAACAAGAAAAATATTCAACATTTTGTTGAGAAAACTACAGTTGCAGACATAAATCTAAAATGTTTAGATTCTATAGAGTAAATTAAAGATGTACATTGAAGATGTATAACAACTACTTACAACTCAGGATGCAATAGAAATTTTGTGTAACACAAATATTGTTTTTAAAATCTACTCTAGCACTCTTTTACACAATTTACATTTTCTAAACTAGACTAATTCTATTCCAATATAAATGAATAAATGTTTGACACAAACCAAAACTTTATAGGGTGTAGAATGTAAATATCTCTTCAAAATGTTATTTAAATAAAAATATAAAATTATAAGGAACAAGGTCACAGGGTAACAGTACATGTTATAAAATATTTGCAATATGTATCACCAGCTCTAAAGAACTTCGTTAAAAGCCATTGGGACGATAATTGTAACTACATTATAATATAAAAATTCGTATTCAAAGTTATGAAATGCTGTAGATCTCCCAACCCATAGTAAACATACATTTTGAATTACACAATTGGCCGAACACTTAAATATACAAACCGTCATATTTAATATTGAAAATTACGCCACAAATAATGCATTGTCAAATTTTCAATTATTTATTTTAACAGTTTATAACATTAGTGTATAGCCCTCCACACCTAAGATAAATTTAACCACAAAATGCAACAAAAAGTAGACATGTCACTTGTGGAGTTCCATTGGACAGGAGCCCTTTTTGCTTTTAAAAATACGTGTAATTGATAAACCACCTATGCAAACTCCAAAACTGTTATCTGGCCTTTCATTGTATGACGAACTTCTATACAAAAAGTTTGGACGTTCATCATGCATTTTTTTATATATATAATATATATATCTTTAAAATTAGTGAACTATTTCATATATTACCTGCAATGCCAGTAAGCTTTACCTTAAGTTCTTAGATTTGGTGCAAGACCAACAAGATCTAGTCGTTATTTCATCATCACACATATATAGACTAAACTAAGATTTGCCTAGCACCACAGCAATGATTGGCACTTCCATTTATAATTCCAGTAACAAATCTTTAAAACAAATCATAAAAATTATATAATTTATGTTTGAAAACATTGTATTCTTTTTTATTATATTATTTATTTTAACTTGGATTTAAAAAATTATTACGAATTACAACAATGTAACGTAGCATATTCCTCAAACCAATGATTATTTACAATTTTTACAATTTGCTTAGCTATTTAAAAAAACCTACACGCAAAAGCGAAAACCAATTTCATACGTTTATAGCTCGCTACATTTGTTGATTTTACATTTGTGCATTAACTTGACTGTAATGTTGAAAAATATTTTTGAAAAAAAAAAAGAAGTACCTGCTATAAATTGTATCATTGCATATATCAATTGTAATACTTTCGGGAATATTTAATGACATAATTAGTAGTCATTCCTATTTAGCAAGCTTGTCTGTCAATAAACTAATGCAATCTAATAATTAATTAATTACATACACGTAAACAATTTTGTTTCAAGTGCCAATCATTTAAGGCAACCCGACAATAATGTGCAACAAAAACTTTGTTATGTTACGTATAGTATAATAATTCAGAAAGACTGTTAAAAAATATTGTCATAAAAAATGACATTTCAATGATTGCCAAAAAGTTATAAATAAGCTTAATGTTAATTCCAAATTGAAATTAACGTTTTCACCTATGTGATAATTTTATGTTTTTATATCATTAGACAGTTCAGATTGAAATAAAAACAAGTGTTATGACTTTCTCTGTTATCACTTATCACATTAACATAAGCGGAAAAGAGAAAAGAACTGAATCAGTAATTGAAATTGATCCTTATATATTTTCTAAAAATGTTTGTGTCCATAATATAACCAGTCTATGGGTCGTATTCTAGAACTCTACTCAATGCTCAAGTCAGGATTTGAGTATGGTTTAAAGCACTCGAAATCATACTTAAGTCCCTGCCATTAGAGTCGTATTTCCAGTGTTTGTGTTTCCAGTGCAATCCTGACTTGAGCATTGAGTAGAGTTCATCGTATTCCAGAACTAACTAAATGCTCGAGTCAGGATTTGAGCAGACTTGAATATGATTTCAAGCACTGGAAATACGACTCTAATGGCAAGGACTTGAGTATGATTTCTAGTGCTTTGAATCATACTCAAGTCCTGACTTGAGCATTGAGTAGAGTTCTAGAATATGACCCTGATATTCAAATAAGATTCGATTTTCTAGCATGTCAAGATTTATTCATACAAAAAGTATGTATCATACTAAAGTATTAGACTTATCTCAGCAGTTAGGAAAGTAAAGTGTAAATTGTCCTTAATTATTTGTCTTTTAATTGCCTGTAAAGTAATTTTGTTAAGTTATATGAGATCGAGAGATATCTCTCTTTAAACTGCCAGAATTATCTTATTACATGTTAACATTTTAAAACGGTAATTAAGAAGAAAAATTTTGTAATCTTAAGTAAAACTAAACTATTTTCTATTGTTGCTTTTTATTTTTAACCATTCTGGGATTTACGTCAGATGTGTTATCTACTCTATGTATTACTTGAATGACTTATGTTTTAGGTAAATAGACTCTACCTGTTCCGATCTCTATATAGTTATGTAAGAGTTGGTATGTCTTTTGAGAACAAATAAAATCTACCTATAGTAACAATTATAAGTATGCTAGGAACACTTGTTTTTCCTTCAAATCCTTTTATTCGTATAGCAAATTGTTGACCATCTGTTCAAGTTAATATTACCTATTTGTAACATATAACAAATTAGAAACAAGGGATCTTTCACAGTAGATCAACAAAATTAAATTTGCTACATGAATTGTCATTTAAAAATTAAGATTGTATGATTTAAAATAGATATTTAGCCAAACAACTTAATATAGTAATTGTAATACATGTGTATCTGTTTCTTTTTGCTAAGTGCCAGTGATTTGGTTTTCTGATGGGGAATTTTTAAAAAACACACATACACAATGTGTTATTCCTTAAATCAATAATATAAATCCTCTGGTCCCATAATCAACTTGAAAGTTAGTTTGATGTTCAGAGTACAATGAGAAAACATACATTCTGACACCCCTTCTCTATATTTAAATTTGTTAAGATCAGGAATGGATTTCAGAAATACTCAAGACTTAAAATATCAAAGTGAACCTCAGACTGGCATTCAGACAGAAAAATTAAGAAATTGAACAGTAAGTTATATGTAGAACTATTTAAAGGCAACACATGTACTACTACTATCTAAGGTAACCAAATGAAAGTTAAATACGAGACAAAATAACTAGTTCAGAAATTAATCAAATTCAACATATGAGTTAGCAAAGTTAATACATAGTATGTGAAATTGCTATAGTATTATTGTTCAATATTTTTAACATATTTACAAGTATAGCTGCAAACAAAATTTAATGGAAATTACTTCAGTAAAAGATCTTCACTTCAATTAAATAATTATCAATACCTTATTCACATTTGTAAACATATCTTGTAGGTAAATAACATTAAAAGTGTATACCAACCTATACATAATGATGTTCCACAGATAGGAGTACCAATATTGTATTTCTGAAGTTACAAACAAATTTTTACAAAGTCGCAAAATTAAATTCGAAACAAACACAGCAAATGAAGTTGATCGAAAACAACTTCAACTACCGGGGTTGTCTTACTATAAGTAAACCTAATTATAGTAACACAGCAACTTGATAAGTAAACATTGTATTAATGTTTGTGTCATAATAATTAATAACATACAGCCTTTGTACACTCTACTCGATTTCCAAAACCGTGACAAATGACTAAAATAATCGTATGGTAAATTATGCCTAAAACTTTCAAATGGTTACCCCAGAAAACGTCGGTTTTGCCTTCCCAAAGACGAAAACAGGCGTTAAAACATAAACAAAACTATATTTACATTATCGTAATAAGACAAAATCAGGTACGAACCCAAGTTAGGTTTCCGACGTAGAGCTGAAAGCGGCGGCCATGATGGTGGCTTGGTGCGTTGTTGTGATATGGAGCGCTGCCATTTGTCTCCTCCGGCGGATGAGGGTGCGGCACCGCAGAGTTCGGAGGCCCATCTCCATCCTCAGGCTTCGATGACGGCGCGGCGATCACATCGTCGTACAAATCCACGTTTTCACCTCCAAAGTCATCCTGGAAAGGAGCCGCCCGACCGAACTCAAATATCGCTGCTAAAACGAACTCACCTCAAACATATTTTATTTATACTTATAATATAGGCTATAATATAAAATATTTTACACTTATTTAGCTTACCTGTCTGTTGAAATCAGACTCAATGTCGTCGGCGTACAAATCTATATCCACGCCACCGTCGGCCATTTTGCGAATTGTTTTTTTTTTATGTTTGATTAAACTAACCGGAAGTGAGTATCGCGCCTAGTGCTACGCTACTAGCCTGACAGCAAGATATTTTAGAAATTATATTATTACTCTAAATTATATTAATTGTTATAAAAATTAAATTAAACTCAATTAATTGAAAAGTGTTGCGAATTGATAGAAAAAACTAAAGCCTTTTTAGAATTACAAAATCAAATGGACAAAATGAATGAAAAATGAATGAAAAAATATCCAAAAAATATCGTAGGAGACGAAAATATTTGTTAATGAAGTAATTAAATTACGTAAATATAAAGTATACATTTTGTACTTTCTTTCTAAAGATTACATTATTTTATGATTTCTTTTTTGCTCTTGGCATCCAAAAGAGACCAACAAAAAGAGAACAGCAAGGTGAAATCGATTACTGGCACAGATTAAGGAGAAGATACATTATTGGTAATAGCTTCATTTTTTTTTTATTACCTACTTATTTTTTGTTTTTAGCATTTGGGCGTATAATAACATAATATATTTAACAGTTAGAAATTTTTATTAAAAACGAGAACTAGTACAAGGTCGTTTTCAGATAACCTCCAAAAATGTGTCCCTTTCAATAACTTTTATGTTATTACATGAATGCTAAGCATTATTTATTTAATATGGTTGCTTGCTTACTTAGCTCGTGTTACACATAAAAGACTACTGTAGTAAAGTAGTCACAGTAATAAATAAAAATTAAAAAAGTGGGCAAATTCTCATTCATGGGAGCCGGTTCCACGTCGCTCTAATTTTAAGAAAAGAAGAAAAAAGTTAAACACTCGTGGAAATCGCAATATTTCCCATCGAGGATAAACTGTAATAATTTACACGTTGAATACATTCCGTAACTTTCCAATTTATTGTAAACGAACATGTTTTCTTGGGAATACAAAATGTGTTTCAATTTTTCTTATCATTAGTGTCAAAATAACAAAAGTTTACACCGCATCACCTTCACCCTTCGCACACGTGAGAAGGGGCTCCTGTCGGATTGGAGTGTGCTAATGACTAAATCGTTCTCATTCATGTAAAGCAATCTATCTAAATAAATATTAAGTAATAGTTTTATAAACTTTATTGTACATCAATTAGACAAAGGGATCTTTAAAATCCATGCACTTTTATAACGGTCCAGGATATTTTACACACTTGACAATAAAAAAAGTATCCAAATATCATTATTGTCGCTCTCATTCTTGTCTACTTTTAAGTCAAATAGTTACTTTAAGCCCAACATTTACTTGAAATGTAACAATTAGATGGTGGTAGTGGTGGTTACGATGATGATGGTGGTGATGATGACGTTGATGATTGCAGTGATGATGACGATGATTTTGATAATGATGTGAATGGAAATGATGCTGATGATAATGGTGATCATGATGGTGATGTTGATGGTGGTGGTGATGATATATTGATGTACAACAAAGTTTATATGACATTAACAAAATACTTATTTAGTTTTATTTATTAATTATATATAGACAGATGGTCTTACATGGACGAGAAAGATTTTGATACAAGAAGTTATATTAAAATATTTGTTATAGTATATTAAATGTTCTTTTGTGAACGATACAATGTGTGTCGTAATAATAATTTCCCATTGCTGTGCCGTCTTTCTCATTTATGTTTATGAGAAAAACATTCGTGTTACTGCAATCACGTTCGTGTGGCCTACAATATCGTTTTTTGTTGTATTTAACTTAAATATTTCTGTGATTATATAATTATTGGCATTGCTTGAACTTATTTGTACGTTTAAGACCTTAAAACCAGAAGAAAAAAGGGTTTTACAAAAATCACTCAAAAAGTGCCATTGAAATTCGAAAAGTGAAATTCACCCTACAATGTAATTTTTGCAGATAAAACTGTAACTTTTCTGAAGACAGAAATTAATTGTCGACTCAAGGGCTCTGGCAACACCATGGCAACGCTGATTATATAACCTGTTATTTGCGCTTCAATCGCGAACAGGGGCATTAACACAATTAAATAAAATCTACTACTGTTATAAGGCTATTGTTGATGAAACATTAACCACTAAACTAAAACAAAATGGCTGTTTTCCGCTCGTTTTATTTAAATCAATGTTAAAAGTCGATGTTAAAAATTAAAATCAATATTATTCAAACTATTATTGAACATTATCCGACGCAATAGCAGGCAGAGTACAGTATAACAACAGCAGTGTAGACAGTTGTTCGATAATGAATAACGTAAGAATAACGCATTATATTATCTGCTATTGTAATAATAACCACCTATAAATAAAATTGATGTTCATTTATCATTTATCCATAGCAGATTAATGTAACATTTCTAAATAATGTTGCCATTTTTCAGAAATATAACTCCTCATAATCAAACTATGAACGTCACTCACTAGAAATAACAATACAGCATTTTTGTAGTTTGCTTTGTAAGAAAAAAATCTACCACGTCGCGACTCGTGAGAACTTTGAATCATGCGTGTTGTTTCTTAGTGACTGCTACTGTAATGACAAATATGAATTTGTTACATTAAACTATTATTTTTTTTGTAATGCATCATCTTTTAGCTAGAAAAGAATAAGAAATATGTTTATTCTAAATTTTACCGGCTCGCAATACAAATACTTATAAATGCCCATTTTTAGGGTGTTCTAAAATTTATAACACGCAACCTTGTTAAAAGTTAGTAAAAACAATTTTTCTTTATTGTTACAATGTTGGCCACTTTGTGAAAACTAAAGTGTTACAAAATAGTACTGTAACACTCTCAATAGATGTCGCTTGACTATAACTTTGTCTGCGAAATAAATTATCTTCTCAAGTATATATATAAGATAGAATTAAAATAGACATTAATGATACAAATAAAATAAACATTTGAGATCCTATTTTTTACTAATATTTCATTTTCATGAATGCATTAACAGATATTCATTGGGCCAAAAACTTACAAGATTTTAATTATGTATTGTATGTAGCGCTACCTTTTTTCCATCCTCTAAGGGCGCCACCCAATAAAAGATTTATGTAGCGCCACCTATCGTAAGGAATGCTAGCTTTTCGCCGCTGATTGTTATTGTCCAGTGGTGCCCTCTATGTAACTGTCACTCATTGCATGCGCGGGTGGGAGGAGGACCATCCCTCGCCATTTTCCGTCAAGCTCAAGCCCAATCAAGGTAGCCTCTGTCAGTCGTTGTGTTTGTGTTTATTGAATGGTGTTGTGAAAAATTATCTGTATCGATGAATATCAATGGGAAATCGTGATTACGACGCCAAACGATGGGTCGATTGTTGTGTCTGTGGCTATAGTGTATCGTTTCAAAAGTGATAATGGCCGAGTGAAGAGGTAAAGTGCAGTGTGTTGTGTCGTATGCGGGGCTGTCACGATAGTGAGGCCCTTTCTCTGGATATCTGGTGTTCAAGACGTCGGGTACGACGGGAAGGTGACACACCATGTCTTCGAAGAACGTACCAGGCGATAAGGTAAGCGCATTTTCGAATGGCCTGCTTGCCAGTAAGGTCATTTTTTTTGTTTGTTTCCAAAAAATCTCCTTTCTCTCGCGTTAGTTTTGATCGTAGCGAACAAAAAGAACGAATTCCTTGAATTATTCGTAAAATTACACTATTAAGTTCCAAGAAGCTAAAATATAACATTCACATTTATTTTTGCAGCTACCTACACGAAAACAGATGTTCTTAATACAAAACGTAAACAATAAAAATATGTAGAAGCTAGCAACATATTTTTAAACAAACATTTTCAATAACAATAATTGTTGAATGTACACTTATGTATCTGTAATATCTGTTATCATGAAAAATAAATAGACCTTTATGTAGATCTCCAGGAATAATAATAACTACACCTCCACCTTGACCTACAAAAATATTTTATAAATTCCTCAATATCACTTACATAATATATAAATACTTTCCACTTTATAAACACTTGGCAATTCTCTTTTGATAGAGGGTAAACAGCAGCACCAGCATACATGGTAAAACCTTTAAGATCTGTTCTATATGTGAGTAAAAGTATAAGTGATTTCAAGTATTTTTATTTTCCTACTTGATTCCAGTGAACTGATCATTCACAAAATCTATACATAGATGTGAGTGTTAAGCACTTATACAGTGAATGTGTCTCACATGTGGATTACATTAATTCATCATGCAAAATAGGCACTACAATTTTCAATTTCAAAAACTAGCCATGTGTACCTATTAGAGTCCAAATTATTAAATTGTTTGATAAGTAGAGCTGACTGTGTGATTTGAAATTATACATATCTGTCTTTCGGCCCCCAATCTCCCAATACTAAGCGAATAAAGGCAGTCTTTATTGTTTATCTAGATTTCAATGTAAAGTCGAATAGAATATCCATAAGTAATGATTATGTATCGAGTTCTTAGGTTTTCGCGATTGTTACACATAGGAAATGAAACTATTTTTCTGGATTTAAATCGCGTATATTTGTTTTTTCAAACAATCCGACGTTTCGATTTAAATCCGGAAAAATAGTTACATTTCCTAATGATTATGTATTTAATTGTATTGTTTATTTTTGTATTCTAAAAAGTACATAATAAGATATTGAAATGTTTATATATATTCTAACACAGTTCTTATTCTGTTTCATTGATTTATTTAAATATTCACTAAGATCTTATACATAAAAAAAATAATCAAATTGAGTATGTATCAGTGCACCCTAAATGATGATAGCATTCCTCTTTTTGTTGTTATACTAATGCATTGGGACTTTATGCCAATCCTTGTTTATTATTTTAAAATTCCACATTGTAATTATGAATCATTAAACATCACTTTCCAAGACTATATTTTCGAAATACACTTACTGGCACGGAAACTTGGCCACACTTGGATTATTGCGATAACTTATATTAAAATACTATTTTATTACCAAATAAAGTCTAGTTATAGTATGTGTTATTTTTATGTTTTTTTACACTTTTATAGTGTTTGTGCACAAAAAACGAGTTTCTTTTAAATTACACTTTTACAAGAAAAGCGAGTTTTAAACATGAAATCTTAAAACAATGGAAAATTAAAACTTGCCACCTTTCTCGTTTTAGTACTTGGTGTTTCCTCCTCTTGCTCTAATTACAGCCTGCATTCGATCTGGCATGCTTTGAATTATGTTTCTGACATCAATTTGAGGAATGTTTTCCCAAGCTCAACTGTTTCAACTGCATTTTAGAGCTCATTAAGTGTTTGTGGCGGTTTGGGAGTCGACTTTACTTTTCTTTTAAGCGTGTCCCATGTGTGCTCTATCGGATTTAGGTCCGAGCTACGAGCTGGCATTGCAAATTTTGAATAGCAACCTCTTCAAGATATTCATTGACACAACGTGTGACGGGCGTGCATTATCATGCATTAAAAGAAATTGGTTGTGTCCAATGAACTCCGAATACACCATAACATGATCCTGGAATATTTCCTCGACATATCGTGTGGTAGTCAGCCGATTGTCGACAATCACTAACTTCGTGCGTCAGAACTTGTTCCTCCGCATACCATTATGGAGCGCCCGTGAAAGCTGACAGTTTGTTTTTTGTGGTGTTTTGTGTTTGTGTTTGTGTGGTGGTAATGAGTAGAAACCGTTCACCTGTTTTTCTTCACACTTGTTCTCGGCCATCTGGAGCAAGTAAAGCTATTCTGCACTCTACAGCAGTAAGGTAGCGGTTTCTCAAAATTTCCAGAACAATGAAACGGTCATCCCGAGCCGATGTGCACCTAACACCACCACTGCCTGGTCTGCGAGTATAGCGGCCTGTCTCCTGGTATAGTTTTAAGGCGTACTGCATTGAAGAACGTGTCACGTTCAGAATGATAGCTACTTCACGTTGTGACAGCCCTTGGTCGACTAAAGTTACGACCTGTGCAACTTGGGTTGGGGTTAAAGTCATTTTTATTGGCTAATTTTCTCTTTTAAATATGGAATTAAACACTCAAAAACACGAAACGTCGGTTACTTAACAGTACACTTTTCAAAGCATAAAATTTTTATCCCACAACCTTGTCGCCCAAATGACCCGATTCAACTAAAACTTAAAAATTGTGTGACAGTGCGCTCAAAAATAATGAATTGCCCTCTTGAAATAAGGGTAAACATTTTTTCTACATACCTTCATGAGAGATACTTATTAGAAACACCTAAAACTTTTACAATCACGAGATTAGTGCTTGGCCAAGATTCCGTGCCGCTGAGTGTAGCTTCTTAGTTTAGTGTATTTTTCTCTATGTACTTTTGAACATAAAGTATTTTCTCCAGTATTCTTTGTTTTAGTTCTTGAATTACAGTATTATTAAGTAGAATAATCAATTAGAAACATAGAAATAGTGTACAATGAAACAACTCACTTTGCACGAATTTTTTCACAGGTTTTCAGGTGAAACTGGTTAAAGTGGTGGTAGAATTCTGGAGAAAATTATATCAAAATCATCAAGTTGTTTAAGAAGACATGACTTTAAACATTTTTATATACAATTTATAATCCTGCTTAAACAAATTCTGATTAACTGCACTTCTTTGTCAGAAAGTCCATGAAAATGAAAAATTAAAAATTGTAGTTGTTCATACCTAATATAAAATTGACAATTACTCCCTTATTTTTCAAATGTAAATAAAACTGTACTATGAATGAGATGAGCAACTCACAAAAGTGGTAAGAATCTTCTTCAATTTTTGATTTTGAGCTAACAAGAACCACTGCTTCACATGTAACAAGTCATCAGATCAAACATTTTTGTTTTTTAAACAATGATAGTAATGTTCTTATTCATCGATTTTTATTATTGAGAATCACTCACACAAATTGTCATTTGATAAATTTTGTTATTATAGTAAGTAATAATTGTAAATCTCACAAAAATTGTTATGAGTAACTATTGTTACTATTAATTGTTAAACATGTCTGATTTTAAAATCTTGAATGTTATGATTTTCATGTAGTCTTTAAACAAGTTTAATAGCACATTACTGTTTCTAAATATTCTTTAATTTGTTGAGTGAGTATTAAGGTCATAATGTGTACTTTGTCGCATTATTTGTGAATGTTGATAATTACAAAGCTATTGGTAATGTAGCTCATTTGATCTCATTTTGTAGAAGACATTTTGCTTTGTTAACAATGTAATGAAATTAATTTAGTGCCATTTATTTTATTACAAAATTTATGACACCAGGGCATAATGAAGAATTTCAATACAAAATCGATAATATGGGTAATTCTTGTTCTCAAGCAAATAACTGATACTTAATAAGAAGTGCATGTTTTTGCAATATAATGAAAAGCAAAAATTAATCACAGGATAAACAATTACTCAATGTATATTTTGCTATATTACAAGTATGTAAATGTAATACATAATATATTTTTGTTTAACCGGAACTATATGAAATGTCACTTCCATGTCGTGTGACTTTCCCGAAATTGCAACATTAAACCTAAACTAATAAAATATTATAAACAACTCAGATTTTTACCACTTATCTATGAATTGTTATGTAGCCCCGATAAATTAATATCAATATTTCTGTAGAAACAAATAAATAACACTTTACTTTTTCAGAAAACTTTTTGTGACTTGGGTTTTTATCACGTCTATGGTCAAATACAAAAATCTACCTAAGTCGTAATTTTTAGAACTAAACATCGGGCAACATCAATAATTATATACTTCTAGTGGCAACTCCTCAAATGATTGCTTCTCGCGATGGCGTTCATTGTTGTGGTGTCGAAAAATTAATTTCGAAAACATTTATTTTGGAAACTGTCGAGCATAACGTGTCAAAACTGTGGATTTGTGTTGTAAAGGTAAATATTCGATTTACTTGTTAATTTTGGCGTATATTGTATGTGTATATAGCGGGATTACTATGCTTATAATTAAGCCAATATTAAATTAAAGACTTTAAGGGTATGAGCGGCATGGCGCAAAAATGTCACAACCATAAGTGTCATCGCCGCGTTTTCGTAAACATCACAGTTGTGACAATCTTCCACGGTCATGACATTTGACCAGTGCAAGTGCCTTTTAATTATAATTATATAGGCATAAAAGTTTATGCTTTGAGGCAGAAGCCGTACTATCGCGTGAAGCGCCTTGTATTTCTAAATATTAAGCTTAAAATCTTTGGCATTGCATCCATGGCCAAAAATGCCGCCATGAAGCTTGGTATCCTCTCAAAGGCGAGGCGATACTTCATACTGGGACAGCCCCATATCTTTCTCCATTAACTTTGGTTATAGGGACCCTCCCTACCGACCCTTAGGGTATACGAGACGGGCACTATAACCTGTGCATGCACAGGAACCTTCCAAGTTCAGGTTCTGACTCCAGATCAGCCAGTGTACAGGGTTGTCACAGATCGTTGTTACTGACTCCATCCGGTTCTCCAGAGGCTAATGCCTCGTGTGGGCAGCCCCGGGTGCGCGTACAGTACCCTCCCTATTTC